GGCCTAGACCCTTCATTTTCTGAAGAAGGGTCTAGGCCCGAAACGTCAGCCATCCTGCTCCTCTGATGCTGCTTGGCCTGCTGTGTTCATCCAGTTCTACACCTTGTTAACTCAGATTCTCCAGCATCTGCAGTTCCTATTAGCTCTGTTTCCAGGACTGCTTTGTTTCAGTGGGTTTGGTAAGGGTAAGAAAGGAGAGCATAGCCCAGATTTTTGGGGTCGGCACATCTAACAGATCAAATTTCTGCCAGGAGAGATGTAAATAACGTGAAAGAAACACAATCTCACCAGCATCATTTGAACTCTGTGCTGAGTTCAAAAGGACCACAGACATACATTTTTTAAAAATGTAAGCACTCATGAAGGGCAAATAAGGTCTATTTAACCGTCACAATCTGGAGTTATTTAAATTCCCAGCCCTTTAGAAAATGGAACAAATAAATCCAGACTTACTCAGGGTCATGCAAAATTAGTAAGGGTTTAAAAAAGTAGCTTTCTATATTGCTTTGATAGACAGACCAGGTGGTGTTGTCTGTTCTTGTAGATTCCAATAGTTGTTGACATTTCCCCGAGGACTCTTATGAATGTCTGACTTATTTCCAAAATAGGTTATTCTCTTTAGGGGAATGACAGGAGGGAAGAATTCTAAGCACTGCTGAGTGCTTTCTTGACAGGGGTAAAGAGACTATGGAAGGATTGCCTGCCTTTTGATGTGGAGTATGAACAGAAATTTGTTTTTATAAGAAACTGAGCACTTAAAAAAAGTTGATTATATATCAGATCTGAAGAGTGAAGCGTTGGATTTTTAGAGCTTTTTTTCCATTTCATTTCCACGTACGACCTCCAAGGTATACCCAGAGCAAATTCTGGGTGAGTTGACATGAGTTGTCACAGGGTTACAGGAGTGTAACAATTAGGCATAATGGAAATTGAGGGATATCAGTTTGCACAGGGGAGGGAAGAGCATGAATTGAGCATGAGTTTGCGTGGAGGCATAAAGGGCCAAGGCTTTTTTTTGGCAGGGTTGGGGAGCAGTTGGCGGTGGGGTGGGGTGAAATTTGTTGAAGAATCCAACAACACAACTGAGACCACGAAGAATGCATTCTATAAACTTTTCTTCCAAACTACTTTTTGCTGAATTGATTTCTCCATCAATGAAGTCTTCACACTTACTGCGTTGCCTGTCAGAATTTCCTTATTTCTTGGTTAATTCTGTGCACACCACTTTCGCTACTTATTTGAAAAAATCAGATAAAGTGGAAGGGGAATCTGGTGGTGCTTTTGTGGTTGGTGTGCAATGGGGTTGGCACGACACTAGATTCCTTAAGATATATAAATACAAGTTGTGAATATTTGAAAAATACAAGTTAAATAATAAAAATCACAGAAGTTCATTGAGGGGAACTAAAATACTCAGGAGCATGAAGACAACTAAAGATGGCAAGTTTATAGACAACAGCAATGTAGCCCAAAAATAACCACATGCTTATTCAAGTAGTATGCAGAATGTTTAGGAACGAGTAAATTGTAAAAGGGATAACAGAAGATCAGGAAATGGTAGACACTAAAAGAATTCTGTTAACAAATCCTGGATCTAGTCATTAATCCCAAATCTTACAAGTGGGTTAATATCAAGAAACTGGAATACAAGATTACAAATTATTTTAAAATTTACAAGCATTAAGGCATTGCAGATTGTTTTGAAACTAAGTATCTTTCAACTGGCCATTAATTCTGTATATTTGTGTGCTCGCAGTTACAGGATAGCAGTGAGTTGCTCAGCCAACCAGACATAATAATAACAAATACTGACAAGAGAGAAAAAAAATTCTACAAGTTGCTCACTATCTCCTCCTCAAGGGTTATCAGAGACTGTTAACAGATGCATGTTTTGTCAGTGATGCTCACATCCCATAAACAAATGAATATGGGAAATAACTTAGCAGAGTTGACAAAAAAGGCAATTGTTTCCCTGTTAATGAGGCCTGATTCTTGGACCATAATATGATGTTGATTCCAGAGAGAGTATATCTTGTAGCTTTCAATGTTTTGAAAATACATTTATGCCAACAATCCATGCATTCAATGCACTCTTGAAATATGTTACAACAGGTAAACATGACCTCTAAGTTGATAAAATAGAGATAAGATTCAAAAGATGGGAAGAAATAGATGGGCAGAACACTATTGACAGAATTAACAATCAATCCAGGACAGCAATCTGTATGGTTATAAAAACCAAGGCAAAGAGATAGATACATATTTAGGCAGTCAGTTGGTCAATCCAAGGTTGATAGGATGTTGTGTGCTTTCTTCTTGCTGTCATGTATAAGGCCGTTGACATCTTTTGTTTATTCATTCACGAGGTGAGGATGTCACTGGCGAGGCCAGCATTTATTGCCCATACCCAATTGCCGAGAGGGCAGTTAAGAATCAACCATCTTACTGTGGGTCTGGAGTCACATGAAGGCCAGACCAGGTAAGGATGGCAGATTCCTTCCCTGAAGGATATTAGTGAATCAGATGGGTTTTTCCAACAATCAACAACGGCTTCATGGTCATCAATAGACTCTTAATTTCAGATATTTATTGAATTCAAATTCCACTATCACCCATGGCAGAGTTTGAACCCGTGTCCCCAGAACATTACCTGGGCCTCTGGGTTAACAACCCAGTGATAATACCACCAGACGATTGACTTCCCATCTGTCCTGACTCAAGGCCAGGTTGTGAAACAGGTTCTATTGTGGACTATCCAGTTCCTCTACCAGCTGTTGAGATCAAAGTCAGCCTTCAAGCAAGTTTTCAGGATATCCACTAGTAGCTCATCGCCTGATGTAGATATTACACTCCCGCACATTCCCTCGCCCCCCAATGTGTTTCCCCCTTTCACTTTTTCTTTTCTATATATTACCTTTTAACTTCACATTCAACTTTACAGCCTCTCTTCTAATTAGAATTAGAAATGTCAAATATGTGGATGAAAGTTAAGCAAAAGGGATAAACACATTGCATTAATCTTGAGGAAGTGAACCAATGAACCAAATGTTTAGTAAAGCAATGGCACTTATTTCAGGAAATTAGTGCTTCATAAAATATCTGTGCCATTTGGATAAGAGTAACTTTAAAGAAAATAACAGCTAATAATAGAGATTTTTATTTCTTGTTCCATGACCAACAAGTTCAGTAAACCTTTCAAAAAGTTTTTAAAAATAAAAAGTACAAAGTTGAATGTATAAAATTAAGCTTCTCAATTTAAATAACTACAAATGAACATATTATCTACCAACAGTTTTTATATATTTTCAACTGGTGGATAGAAATCTCTGTAGCACATTCATACACAGTTCAATTTTTCTCTCAGACTATATACATTTCTGCTTAACAGTAATTCTAGTTCTTCGGGTTCTCATCTATGGAGATATATTACCCTATGTGAAGCTTAAGAAAATTCTTTTTGTAAAACATTTGAGTTTAGTAACCAAATTTCACAGAGGAAAATATACCCACAAAACATCTACATTTGTTCTAATTCTTCTGTCCAATGTCCAAAAACTTCCATTTGTTCTAAGCCTTTCTTTTCCGTGACAAAGTACTTCCATTTGTGTCCAATCCAGATCCCGAAGGTGGCTGCTGTGATTTTTTCAAAGGTATTGAAACCCACTCTTCTGTACTGTTACAAAGAAAAGAAAGTAGTTCATTACCCTATTGCCATTTCATAAAAAAAATGAAAGGACCAACGATTTACTCATCCTCAAAAGCAGTAAGTAGTTGACATTTTTTCAGAAAATGGCTTTGATAACTACCTATATGTTTTCTTTGCACTCTCTCTTCTCATTTTTTTGCTTGGAGCTTGTCCATCAGACAAATCTAAAGCCATTGCTTTAGGACTGCATTCAGAAGTTGTTCTTGTTGGAGTCATACCTGTAAACAGATAAAACACAGCAATTAGTATAAATGATGTTTTTTTTAAACCTGAAGAATAATACTAATTTTGTATTGTGTAATCTAGACTAGTTACAGAACTATGTTCTTTTGTACTATATTGAAAAAACAAAAACCGAACATCAGAGTCCGATTCATTCTTTCTTTAATTCATTCATGGGATGTGGGCATCGCTGACTAGACTAACATTTATTGCCCAGAGGGCAGTTAAAAGTCAACCACATATCTGTGGGTTTGGAGGCACAGAGAGCAGGTAAGAACAGCAGTTTCCTTCTCTGAAGGACATTACTGAACCAGATTTGTTTTTTTTATAACAATGGTTCCATGATCATCATTAAGACTCTCAATTCCAGATTTTTATTGAATTCAAGATCTACCATTCGCCATGGCAGGATCTGAACCCAGATCTATAGAACATTACCTGGGTCTTTGGATTAATAGTCTAGTGATAATACTACTAGGCTAGCACCTGTATAATGTAATTCCAACACATTATTGCTTGTTAGCACCTAAACACAGTCTAAAATATATGGAAACAGTATTTTTTGTTTGAAAAAGCATTTCAAACAGAGTTATCATTTATTATTTTGCAGACTTAGCCAGGGAATAATCAAACAATGAAATTTCAATAAAATCTCGATCTTCAAGCAACATAATATTGGGGACAACCATGTAGCGGTGGCGCAACTTGAATGTGATGCAAGATATTTCTGTTCAGTTTGAATTTACTTTGTGTTGTAATCCATTGAAGGTGTAAGATGTTTCGTACTGATGAGGGAAACATGACACTTGGAGTTGGATGAACAAAGGGATTAACAATATCTCCTTAACAAATGAAATTTATGGATTGAGAAAGGAAGAGGAATGCTGCAGTTGGCTGGATGTAAGTGGACAAATTATAGCAACAAAAACTATAAGAAATATTAAATTGAGAGAAAAAGCGGAAAAACAGACACTCAAAGTCAAAACTAAAAGTCTGAAATGTGACAAACATCTTACCATGTGCAAGACTCATTTCCATTAATTTAAAGAGTTTGTTTCCTCAGATGCACAAATTGATTGGTATTGCAATAACCAAGCACATCCTGTCTAAAAGGTTAATTATGAACTCCAAATTTCTACAGCATTTTTTCTGGACAATTAATGCACACATCTAGCAAGCTTTGAAAAGTTATTGGAAAGCTAAGGGTTGATGTAGGTTGTTTAAAAAAAAAAACAAGTTTCAGAATGATGTAAATCACCCAGCAATCTCCAGAGATTTGAAACTCATGGCATATCTTCCTCTGAAGATACTGGTCAATTTGCACCTACTATGCATAGTATGTCATTTTTCCATGAAGATTTGGATTAGTGTGTTCGGGGAACTAATAACTTGCCTAGTTGTTTCTCTATTTGCTTGAGTTGGTTCTCTTGTTCATTGAGCTCTTTGTGCTTCAGGGTCATCTCTGGAGAACCGAGATATTTCAGCTGCAGATCCAGTTCCTGATTGACGTTATTAAGCTTGATCAGAGCAGAGCGATACTGCTGGATAAGATCTACAAGAGAAATGAAACTGCTGAAAACAGAGAGTATACAGAGGACCATTAAAGAAAAGAACCAGTACATTTGATAGGTAAATTAACAAAATCAATCAACAAACTGCAGTGGAAAAATAAAGCTTCAAACTTGGAAGGTTTGAGTATCTTTCACCAAATTACATTTGTGCCTTACTTTTATTTGCATACGTGCGGAGTTGCTGATCATGGCTGTATCACCAGGCACAAAAGTATTCCCTTACAAAAATTAACAAACCAGAAGACTGGTTAACACAGACCACTCTCAGTAGGCAAAGTGGCACACAGCCAATATCTGAAAATTGGACACATGCTTATTCTGCTCTGAGGAGCTGACAATTGATTAAAATGAGTGGATCTCTTTTAAGGGTGCCTGAAGGGGGTAAAATCACTTATAATTTAATGGCAGGATTTATTTTCAGGTATACAGAATAATCACCATATTAATGTATTGTCCAAAGTAAACTTTGGATTTAAAGTGATAGCACTGCCCTGACTTCTTCTTAAATGTTTCAAAGAACCAAGATCTCAGGTGCTCAAATACTGCAAAATCAGAACAAAATGAAATAAAAATTAACTGGATATTGTTCAAATCAAAAGCAGTTTCATTAGGAGGTCAGAAACAAAATATTCTCAGCAGGAACAGATCAAAAGATTGACAAGTATTTTAGATTTATGAAAATGTCTATGATGTTAGGAGGGTGTATGTAGTGAATAGGTAAACCAGTGAGATCAGGAAGGTGGCAGGTCTGACATACAGACTGTTGCCACGTACCATCCAAACTAGAAAGATGAAACCTTGACTTAGATTTCCTTAGGTTTGGATGGGGGTTAATTAGATAAGGTCACCACTGACCACTGCTGGTGCAAAACATATTCTTTCAGATAAATATACATTTTTGCAACAGTAACTGAATAGCATTCTGCACAGTTTATTCATGAAACATGGCCAATTGTTATTTTACTCAGTGTTAAGAGTTTATACCGTAAATAGAGAAAGCTAAACAGGCCAGAAAGGTTTGGTTGCTAGGCTATTAAAATTATCATCCCACAGTGGTGAAAACTTCATTAAAATAGCAGAGAGAAAAAAAAGATTTTTAACAGATTTCCTTCTTCAACATCTGTAATAATTCTCCTGTGACACAGCTTATCAAATATCTTTGCAAAATCTATATGTGCACTACATTGCATCATAAAAATAATAACGTTTGAAAACTATTTGTCAACTATGACCTGCTTTTAAAACCTTCTTTATTATTTATCTCCAAACATAAAATTAACATGGGTTATTTGGATTCTGGGGTTCTGCTCAAAACTGATAGATGAATAGATATGAGTTGTCCAAGAATGTAGTAACCACAAAAATCAGCAACAAAATAACCTGGCTAATTATCATCCTTATTGCATCCTAGTCCTCATTAAAGGGAGCCAACTTATCCTAAATGAAATCAGGAAGCCAGCATTGTCAGCAATTAAACTTCTGAACTTGAGGCAAGAAAAGCAGCTAAGGAGAGATTCTACGCTGACCTTGAGCAAGTCCCAGCATGTGACAAATTGATCCTCTTTAGAGATTTCAATGCAAGATGCAAATTTCTGGAACAGCATGATATCTATGGCAGAAGTAGGAAACAAACTCTAACAGAGTCCTCCTCCTGCCCAAATGTCTAGAGTATGACACGGTCATGACTAACTTCCTATTCTGCCATCTCAAGACAAACACACCTCATGACCTAAACACACCTATGCAAACACAGGCACTTAACAGCATAATTGCTCAAGAAATGGACTGCAGAGATGGCTACATCACCTGCATGTATCAACGATCGCTGAAACTATCATGGCCCTATTCAATCTACCATTGCCATGAGCCAGGCCCCCAAACAGAGAAAGTGGAAACAATGCCAAAAGAAAACTGAAAACCTTAAAGACATCACCAAGGTGACCTTCTCCGTCAGAACTTCAATGCCAAACTCTCACCCTCCAGCCACCAAGAGCACTACTGCACTTTTCAACTCATAAGTAGCTAACAAAAAGGTTTTTGGTTTCCCTACCAGGAAGCATTGCGACAGATTGACAAAAATGACCAAGAAATACAGAATACAACTGACAATATGCTCAAAACTTTCGCAGACTGGAAGATTCAAGACTCAAGAGTAAAGCAGCAACCTAGCATAAAAACACAATAAAGAACAAATAGTGGGTAGAAACTGCTTCAGTGATTAACAACTTTTAGACACCAACAAATGTGCACTGTTTCTACAATGCAGTCAAAATGAGCTATAGTTCAAACACCTGAGGGGCCGATTCCGCCGAGAACCAAACAGAAGACAGCAAAAATCCAGGGAGATCAGTGCTCACTGGAGAAAACTTTTTAAAAAAAAATCATCTACTGACACTGTCCTCAGCTTGAATGTCTCCAATTCCATTCCTAGCCCACCCAGCTCAGTTTCAGTGTTGTCCCAGTCTGTAATGAAATTGATAAAAACATTAAACAGCTGAAAAATCACACTGCCTCTGCAGCAGATAGAATCCCTGCCCTAATTCTGAAACACAGTAGAAATGTACTCATAGCATGGCTACACAACCTCATAACCCTCTCACCTAGGAAGAGAAGTGCATGCTAGGGGATCTCAGGGATGCTAACTGCGAGTATATTCAAGAAGGGAGACAATCCGTGCGCAGTGGCTACAAAGCAGTCTTCCTACTGTCTGCCTGGGAAAAATCATTGCAATGTCCTCTTCGATCCCATCCTCAGTAAGTTGAGGAGCGCTTTTCTTGGTGGCAATTTGGTTTCCATCCATCAAGGGACAGAAAATATGGTCTTCATTGCCTAGCAAATTCTATATAAAAAAAAAACTTAGGAGTTGCACAAAATCCTGTACATGGCCTTTTCAACCTCACAAAAACCTATGACAGTCAAACAAAAAGGCTCATGAAAATCCTCTTCAAACTTGGCAGCCCTCAAAGTTGTCACCACCCTCTGTCTTATTCCAGGATGACATGCTAGCCATTCTCATCAACAGAACTATTAAACTTGTGAAAAATCAAATCAAACACGGCTGTGTTCTTCTCAGTTTTTCACACTGTAAAACTTACCTTCAGCAAATTTTCCACGTGCATGTACAAAATTTGCAGGACAAGAAACCATTCAACACAAGCTGCATTCAATCGAAAGCAAAAAGCATCCCACCTTCAGTCAGAGCTTCAGTCAGCAGATAACACCTGTGTACACTCAAATTGCGCTTCAGGTCACTGCTGTCCTCATCTTAGGGTTTGTTTTCATTTGAAAAAGGCTGGAAAACACCCAGAAACTAAAGTTCCCTTCTAACTGACTCCCACAATGTAACATCATAAGACTGATGGGTAGATCCAGGAAACACTTTTTTCCTGTATCTTGGCAGTGTACTCTTGGCAAAGACAGTCAGTGATGAAGAACTTCAACATCTCAAATATACTGACCCAACCTTCAGCAGACTAAGGAAGAGAAATTGAGGATAAATGATCTCAAACCCAAGACAGAGGGGATGGTTTACTGGGCAGTGATCCCTATGTTCTTATATGCTACGGGAAAGTTGAACAATCTATAGTAGGCATCTCAAATTACCTTTGCAAGATTCTCTAAATTCAGTGGGAAGAAAGGCAGTCAAACAGCCACCAATATGCTCAGCATCAAAGCACTAATCACCCAAAACTAGCTTTTCTGAGCTGGACATATTGTTTGTGTGTCTATAATCCAGCCACCCAAAGCAACAGATCTATGAAGAACAGTCATCACCACAAAGAACTCCCAAGAGGTCAAGAAGGAACAACTTCAGGGTGTCCTCAAAGTTACCAAGAGATCAAACATCCCCTCCAACTCAAGGCAGCCCTGATTTGTGGTGGAACAAGGTGGAAAAGGTTCATTCAGGAAGGCACTGAAGATATCTGAAGACTTTGTTGAGGACACACAGAGATGAAACTGAGTTGCTGGAGAGCACACAAATCCCAAAATACTTTATCTGTCTGACCCTTTAACTATCTTCTACGCCTTGTGTGGCAGAGTCTGCAGATCATGCACTGGACTTATCTGTGAATGCTAGAACTGTTGAACCAATTGGGAGCAACTGTTCCTTGATCCCAAAGGGCTGTCTAATAAAGGAATTTCAGCAAAGCCATCAACAGAGCTTTGATGTTATAGGATTAGGTTGTTTTTCAACAATAGTATAGAATAGTTTAGGTTAGATGGGCTTCAGATTGGTTTCACAGGTCGGCGCAACATCGAGGGCCGAAGGGCCTGTACTGCGCTGTAATGTTCTATGTTCTATGTTCTAAGTTTCTGAAAGGAAAAGCGTCATATGGCCCAGGTCAAAAAGTACAATCATGAGTTTATGGTTGCTTTTATGGCTCAAGCTAACGTAAGCTAAAGGTGAATAAATGTGAAAATTGTTTTACTCCAGATACAGGGGATAGCAAGAACTGCAGATGCTGGAGTCAGAGACGATGCAGTTGGAGCTGGAGGAACACAGCAGGTCAGGCAGCATCAGAGGAGCAGGAAAGTTGATGTTTCGGATTGGGTCGGGTCCTCTGATGCTGCCTAACCTGTGTTCCTCCAGCTCCAACTGTGTTGTCTCTTACTCCAGACGTAGCTATGTTTTAAATTTGTAACTTAAAAGAATGTAAAGATCTATGTACATTAGTTTGTACAGTCATGGAGTTTTAATTAGTTTTACATTATTCACAATGGTTGAGTGACACATGGTTCCAGTTAAAATGATATTGATAGGTTTGGGACAACATTCAGATAAATCGGTTAGGAAATTTGGGATGATAATCACTATAAAGTTGGCAAACTAAGACGGACAAGGAAATAAAAGGGATGACCTCACTGAGTAATTGGCATGTCAACAAATGACTCGGGAGACAGGAGGAAGTGATTTCATTAAGCTGACTATTACTTTAAAGAAACTAATCAGATATTGGGCAGACATTACCCACAAAAAAAAAATCGAAGGCTGACTATAAACTGTTCATGCACTGATAAGCCAATTAGAATTTAGGTCATTTCTGATGAGGCATTGGGGGTAGTAGCTATCAAGGATTAATAATGTTTCTCGGTGGTCTGAAGCACCATAAAGACAATTGAAGAAAGAATGTCTTAAACCAACAGAACAGTATTCCAGGATTACTAACTAGTGTCTCAAAGTGGTTTGAATAAAAAAATACTGCTTTTGGGCATTATCCTTTTGCGCTTGTTCTACATGTAATAAATTCCGTAAAATATTTAAAACACTTTTTTAAAACATGGAACGGCTCTTAACTATTTAGGACTAGTAAACTTTTAGATTGGTTCTCTCAAACTTGGTCCACAATTGTAACTGAATTAGGTTCTACATTTAAAGTTGACGTGAACCCCAATATCTTCCACTGCTGCAGTGCAATCTTCAAGAAATGTCAACCTTGTTTCTCTCTCCACAGACACTGCCCAGACCTGCTGAGTATTTGTTTTTGTTTTAGATTTCCAGTGCTTGCTGTATACTGCTTTTAACTTTGACGGTTACTTATTCATTTCCCATAATTACTCAAGTCAAAATACTGACTTATTTGCTATGCATTAAATATTATTCCTAAACTGAAACGTACCAATTTGAGAATTCAGTGTATGATAAGCTTTTGGTAGAGGAGCTCCAAACACCAGTCCTCGAAGTTTATCCATTTGTGGAGCTTTGTTTTGAAGGCCTCCAAACTTTCCATTGCTTCGAATTCTGTCTCCATCTCTAGTCAGTAAGGTAGGGCAATGGGTGATTTTCACAACCTGAAAATGGTATATTAAAGTGAAATTAAGCAAAATTTCAGAGTCAGAGCTCATTTAAAAATGTAGGACAGTGTTTCCAGAAAACTTCATTGAATTATTTCTGCATCTTAAATTTTTAAGCAAAATAATGGTCAGTTTAAGTACATAGCTTACTGTATATACAGCATATTTTCAAATGCCATGCAAAAGTAATAACTTAAGTCTCATGCACATTATGATTAGATGATGGAGTTGATCAGCTCCATGCTTTCACTGTCCCTTGGTTGATTACAACAAATATTTATGATTTTTTTAAAGCATGCAGCTATCACAATTCAATTAAAATGTGATTAAGTAGATCAAAATCAAGGAGCAAATTCATTACATTTGTTCTTGAGTGAAATGAAGGGGAGTTTTATTACCTGTTATCCTGAAAAGAAAATAAAAATGCAACAAACACAATAAATACTTTGAAGGAGTAACATGCTTGGAATAAAAGCGAATGTTTTGTACTAGGATTTCTCTTGCTGCTGGTTTGCTAGTGTGTTGGGAAAGAAGTTTAAACTAGTCCAGCAGGGGTTGGGGACATAGAACATTAGACAGGAAAGGAACCAAAATCAGAGTAAGGCAAGGCTTAATGGCTTCTAATCCTTGGACTATTATAGATAACACAGAGTTAAGAATGTGGATTAATGCATGGAATGTGATATCACTGCCATCACAGAGACGTGGTTGAGGGAGAGGCAGGATTGGCAACTCAATATTCTGAGGTATAGGATCTTCAAGCAAGTCAGGAGTTGTGCAAGATAGGAAGTGGTTTTGTGTCATTAATTAAAGAGTCAATTACTGTAGTAAGGAGGGAAGATATCTTGGAACAGTTTTCAATGAGACTTTGAGAGTAGGGTTCGGGAATAAAAAGGGGTAAGTCACATAGCTGGGAAAGTATTATAGGCCTCCAAACAATTAACAAGTAATAGAGGTGCAGAGACAGATAATTGGCTCAGGTGGGAGATTAGAATATTAGGATAATTATTTTAGGGGATTTCAACTTCCCCAATATTAATTGTTATACCAGTGGGTAGATTTCTTGAAATGTATTCAGGAGAGCTCTTTGCATCAACACATAGAAGCTCCCAACAAGGGACTGTGCAATGCTGGACCTAACTTTGGGGAGCAAAGGTAAGCAGGTGGCTGAGGTGGGTAGTGTAGCATCATTTTACTCAAAGACCGCACACAGCACTGTTAATTTTATTATGGGAAAGGAAAATGATTGCATGCAAAAATCAGGGTTTTCAATTGGGAGAAGGCTGATATTATTAAAATAAGGCAGGATCTGCCCAAAGCAGACTGGGAATAGCTACTTCCAGGTAAATGTACACCACAACGGTGGGGAGATAGGATATTCAAAAAGGAAAAGAAGAGAGCACATGCCCTACATGTCGGTGACCAATTCGCGGAGCATCTGCGTTCTGTACGCTACATTCAACAGCGCCTTCTGGTTGCCAACCATTTTAACTCCCCTTCCCACTCCCTTAGTCGGATGCCCGTCCTGGGTCTCCTCCAGAGTCACAATGATGCCACACATAAACTGGAGGAGCAACACCTCATATTCTGCTTCAGGAGCTTACACCCCGATGGCCTCAACATAGAATTCATCAGGTTCAAAATCTCCCCAACCTCTGCCTCATCCCATGTCCAGGCCTCCCTCTCATCCCTGCCTCCTTGACCTGACACAATCTGTCCATCTTCTTTCTCACCTATCTGCCCCACCCTTCACACGATTTATCTCCACAACCTCCTACCTGCATCCACCTATCACCTACTATGCCCCAGCCCCAGCAGTCCCATTTATTTCCCATCTCCCTTCCCCCTCCAGAGTCCTGATGAAGGCTGTAAACCTGAAACATAGACTTTCCTGTCCCTCTGATGCTGCCTGACCTGTTCATCCAGTTCCACTCTGTCTTGACTGACTCCAGCATCTGCAGCTCTTGCTATCTCCAAGTGACAGATAAGAACAAGCTCAGAGAACCCTGGATGTCTAGGAACATTCAGGACTGTATGAGGAAGAGAGAGGCCTTTAACAGGTGCAAAGAGAGCAAATCAATGCAGGCTATAGTGGAGTATAGAAAGTGCAGGAAGAAATTTAAAGCCATTAGGAGATCAAAGAAGGGATATGAACAAACACTGACGGGTAAAATCAGGGAGAATCCCAAGATGTACAAACTGGAGGCTGGAAGAACACAGCAAGCCAGGCAGCATCTGGAGAAAAGGAGCAGTCAACATTTCCGGTATTACCCTTCTTTGGGACTGGGTGTTGGGGGAGGGGGAGCTGCAGTTAAGGGGGTGGTGAGGGTGGGAGTCGAGGCGGAATGGTGGTGATAGGTGGACACTGGTATTCGGTCCAACCTGGTTGGTTGATGGGAGGGATGAATCTGGCTGGTGGCTGGAAGGGAGGGTCAGAATGTGGAATGGAAGGGAGGCAGTGGGGCTGGTAGGGGAGCCGAGGGATGGATGGGAAAGTTATATAAAATTGGAGAACTCTATGTTGAGTCCTCTGGGCTGCAGGATGCCCAGGCAGAAGACAAGGTGTTGTTCTTCAAATATGAATTCCAGTGTCACAGTGACACTGGAGGAGGCCGAAGATGGACATGTTGGAGGGGGTGGGGCAGAGAGCTGAAATGGGCGGTGACCGTGTGGTTAGGTTGGCCGTTACGGGCCAGGCAAAGATGCTCGGTGAAACAGTCACTAGTGTACGTTTGGTCTCACTGACGTAGAGTTTTGCAGATGGTGGTGGTTGGGGGTTTTGGCGGGGGGAGATGGTGTGGTGGGCGGTGGTGGTGGGGCGAGGAGGAGAAGAGGTGGAAGGTGGAATGGTGGTGATAGGTAGACACTGGTAGTAGGTATGACCTGGTTGGTTGATGGGAGGGATGAATCCGGTTGGTGATTGAGAAGGAGTGTCAGAAGATGGAATGGAAGGGAGGAGGGAGCAGCTGCAGATAAAGAGAGGGTGGCCTCCTCCAATGTCGCTGTGACTCGGAATACAAATTTGAAGAACACCTTGTCTTCTGCCTGGGCATCCTACAGCATGGAGGACTCAACACTGAGCTCCCCAATTTCAAGTAACCTTCCTACACATCCCCCCAGCTCCCCTACCAGCCCCACCTCCTCCCTTCTATTCCACCTTCTGACACTCCTTTTCAATCACCAACCGGATTCATCCCTCCCATCAACCAACCAGGTTGCACCTACTACCAGTGTCCATTTAGCATCACCATTCCGCCTCCACCCCTTCCCCCCCACCTCTATCTGCAGCTCCCCCTAACCCCACATTCATGCCTGAAGAAGGATAATACCCGAAACACTGACTGCTTCTTTCCTCCAGATGCTGCCTGGCTTGCTGCGTTCTTCCAGCCTCCTGTTTGTCTACCTTGGATTCCAGCATCTGCAGTTTTTTGTCTCGAACAAAGAATCCCAAGATACTCTGTAAGTACATTAAGGGGAAAAGAGTATAACCAGGGAAAGAATAGGGTACATTACAGACAATAGGAACAATGTGTGTGGAGCCAGAACACATTAAATAGGGTGTTAAGTGCAAACTTCACTTCTATTGTCACTCAGGAGGAGAATGATGGTGTAGGTACAGATTTTGACGAATAGGACTACGAATTGACAGATTGACAGAGAATAAGGCAACATTGGAGGTTTTGGCAGGCTTAAAAGTGGATGAATCCCAGGCTGCTGTGGGACGCAAGGGAAGAAATTGCTGGGCACTTTGACCCAAAACTTTAATTCCTCTCTGGCCATAAGGGAGATGCCAGAGGACTGGAGGCAGCTAATATGGTTCCACTCTTCAAGATGGGTTGTAGGGATAAACCAGAGAATTATGGACCAGTGGGAGGGAAACTATTGGAAAAAATTCTGAATCTGCTCTTGGAGAGGCACGGTTCGATCAGAAATTGTCAGCACAGCTTTCAAGAGGGGCGCCATGCCTAACAAATTTGATTCAATTTTTTTTGGTGTATGTAGATGAGGGTATTTGTGCCTTTTTTTGACAAGGTCCCACTTTGGAGAAGCATTTAGATCCAGGACAACTTGGATCCAAAACTGTCTTAGTGGTAGGAGACAGAGGGTGGTCGTAGAAGGCTGTTTGAGAGATTAGAGGCCAATGTCCAGTAATATACCACAGATATACACGATACAGATGAGAATGTGGAGGGAAAGAGGTGGGAAGGTGAGTAAGTTTGCACAACTTGAGGTGCTTGTCCACAGATCCCTGAAAGCAGTAAGACACTGAAGATTAATAAAAGGTGGTTGAGGTGGTATACGGGGACACTTGGTTCTGACTTTGCAGGACTTTAGATAGGACATAGTTGAAGAACCATGCACAATTTTGGTCGCCACAGTATAGGAAGAATGTAGTTTCACTAGAGGGGGCACAGAGGAAATTAACCAGGCTATTGCCTGGTTTGGAGCATTTTAGCTATGATGAGAGGCTAGATAGAGTCGGGTTGCTTTCTTTAGAGGAGAAGGTTGGGGTGGACCTGACCGAGATGCATACAATTATGAGGGGCACAGATACAATCATAGGAAGCAGTTGTTTCCCTCAGCTAAAAGGCCAATTAACGAGGCAGGCACAATTTCCAAGGTGAAAGGCAGGGGGATTGGAGGGGATTTGAGGAAAATCTTTTTTACCGTAGGGTGGTGGGAATATAGAATGCACTTCCTAGATGGGTGGTAGAGGACTGGAGTTAAAAGTGTGTGGATGAGCACCTAAAATGTCATAACATTCAAGGGTATGGGCCAAGTGCTGGAAAGTGAGATTAGCATAGATAGGTTGGTGCAGAGATGACACGCCTTTGCTGCACTGTATCACGGAGATATCTGATAAAGTGCCACTAGAAGTTTACTGCTCAAAACAAGAGCCAATAATGTAGGGGGCAACATTTTAGAAGAAAGAAAATTGGCTGGCTGGTAGAAAACAGCACAAACATAAACAGAAATTAAAATAACTATACTCTCCAAATTGTCAGGACAGATTAAGTGGAGTGGGCTAGTGACCAGATTTGGAGCCTTTTTCAATTTATAACAATAACTTCAATGAGGAGAGTGAAGGCATAATAGCCAAATTTGCAGTTGCCTCAAAGATAGGTAGAAAAATATGGTGTGAAGAGGGCATAAGGAGATTGCAGAGATATAGATACAGGGAGAATGGGCAAATATCTGACACATGAAGTATTATGTTAAGTTGTTCACTTTGGAAGGAAGAATACAGAAGTGAGTATCACATCACCAGAGAAGTTGACAAAATTCCAAGATGCAGAGGCATTATAGTGCGAGTTAAAATTAGTATGCAAAACATCAAATAATTAAGGTGGACTAATGAAACACTATCCTGCATTGCAGGACTAATTTAATATAAAAGTAAGGATGTTATGTTTCATTTATACAGGGCACTTGGTGATACTACATCCCAAATACTGAGAGTAATTTTGTTCTCCCCATTTAATAAAAGATGCAAACACACAAAGTGGTTCAGAGGAGGTTTAGTAGGACATCCTGCACTGATCAGGTTGTCTTATGAGGATAGCTAGGGGAGACCAATGTATTTCCACTTGTGTTAAGAGGAGAGAGGGGTGAATTGATAAAATAATATAATATCCTGAACAGTACTAACAAGGTGGATGTGGACAGAATGTTTCTTTTTGTGGCTGAGTCCAGAATTGGGAGCTGCCATTTAAAAAAACTTGTGGTTGCCTTTCAGGACTTTAGAACTCTGTACTTCATGAGGCTCTGAAGCCACAGGGTCACTGAATATTTTTGGGTTGAAGGTAGTTAGATTCTTGTTAGGCAAGGGAGTCCAAATTCAGAGGTAGATGGGAATGTGGAGTTCAAAACTCAAACACATCAGTCATAATCCTACTGAATGACAAAACAGGCTTGAGGGGCTCAATGGCTTACATTTGCTCCCAATTCATATATGTTTGTATGTACACAAAAAAGCAGAGGTAATAAAGCTAAAAAGACAGTGGGGGAGGGTTATTTAGTGCAGACAAGAACGTAAAAGCAATTACAGTTGAGAACTCCTAGAGACTTCAAGTTGTTTGAATAACTCAGGTCCTGACTTGTCAGCTATTTTTTCTTGATATGGGCAATTTTACAGATCTTGCTAGATCTCAGTGAACAATTGTTGTTCCAAACTGCTTTTTCACCAGGCACTAACTTTTAAAGGAGAGATGTGCAGAGAAACATTCTCAATAATCTCACTGTTATCTGCCAGTGTTGTTTTCTCTCTGTTGCTCAAAGGCAGCTATTGTTATACAGTTCCTTTGCGGATTCACATGCCAATGTCATTGTTTCATTCCAAATTGCTTAGTTGTAGGCAACCTTTCATCTCTCAATATTCGATGTTATCACACGAGTGTGAACTAAGGGGAGGCAAAGATGTCTTCTTGATGTCTCAAAAAGTTTGTCTCTCTTGATAAAAGTGTTAATTTTGATGCAGCCAGTTTTGTTCATATGGGTTCCCTACACATGCCTCAATCTGTGCTTAGGTGATCACAGCAGCATTTAGTTTAATATTTGCCCTTTTTAAAACCAGTTTTTGCCCATAAAAGGTCTCAGGTGTAATAATCAGATGATGGATACGGATTGTCATTTCACAAAAATACAGAATAATTACATGGCAAGAACATACCTCTTTTCTATACTGATTGGCAGCATTTAAGTCATCCAGAATAATTGTATCTCCAAGAAGCATTCCAAACACTGAAATACAAACATTTATTCTAAGAAAATGCTCTTGCCCGCAAACTAAAAAGCTTGCATGCTACATAATTCAACGAATTTACAAGGTTAACTGCAAAGCTGGGTTTTCCCAAGGTATGATTGCTGTTAATACATACATTGGAACAACATTTGAAAATCTGATCCTCTGATAAAAGTTTTATTACACACTGAATAACATTCTAAGAAAGTTGTTAGCAGTTTCTTGTTCAGAAGTAACATCAGCACAAAAACACTGGTCTCTTGAATGAAGTCTTGAAGAGTCTACTCAATTTCTCTGTCTGAAAATCAACCTGGAAAAGTGCAGTTTGTTATAACCAGATTTGATCACTTTATGAACCAGGACACAAATTTCTACTTGCAAAACTCAACATAAGGCTCAAAATTTCACGTGCATCTACAAATGGTGATAAAGGTCTACATGCTTTCTCCGAGATTTACCAAATAGCACATTCAGATGTACAATATATGACAGGAGGTCGATAGAAGCTATTTCGATGAAAGTGATATATTGTCAGAAACAAAAGACTAAAATGGATTACTAATTGTTACCTTTATAAACTAAGGACAGAAATATTGCAACATAACTCATTTACACTTGCTAAACGCTACAGATATTCACACGCAGGGAGCGTGGGGGCTGCAGGGTGAACGGGTAGGAACGGAGACTGTAGAGCTGGGGGCTGCAGGGCAGATGAACTTAGTTCCATGGCATCATGACATATCAGGCTATTTCAAGTGGAGTTGTAAGAAGGAATGCAGTTGTAGAGGTGGCCAGCATAGCATTTGCTGCAGCAAAGTGCACAAGTCCATGTGGCTGTATTGCCTGTCCAGCATCAGGGTTCAGGACATCTGGAGAGTAACTTGCAGTAGTAGGGAGATGATTAAATCATGAAGGTCCACGTAGGTAACAATACAAGCAGGATAGAGGAGGATGTGCATAGTCAGCAAGAAGCTAATTGCCAAATTAAGCAGAAACTCAAAAAGGTCATAATCTCTGAATTATTGAGCTATGTGCAAATTGCTACTTGGCCTGTCAGAGTAAAGAGATATACACTTAGCTCAATACTGGTAGTGAAGAACTGGGCTCTGGTTCATACGGCACGAGAACCACAACTGGGAAAAGAGGAATGTCTACTGATGAGGCTGTCTCCACCTGAAAGAGGCTGGGACCCTGAGCTCTTGCCAATTGCATAAGTAGGGAAGTAAAGAGGATTTTAAATAAAATAGTGGGGACAAGGGATCAAATTTGGCAAGATGGGTAAATCAAAAAGAGTAGCATCAAACCCAAAGTAAAACGTACTACTACAGAAAATGACAAAAAGATAAATACTATCTATCTTTCCAGTCCTGGTTTAAGAGTGAACCAACAGATAAAACTAGAATGCAAAAAGAAAACTAAAGGCTTTATATCTGAATGCACAGAGCATCTGAAATGGAATAGATGAAGTCAGAGGACAAATAGAAATGAATGTGTACAATCTGGTCACCAGGTAGAGATATGGTTGCAAGTTGACACAGATTTGGAGGGGAACCTTGAAGGGTATAGGACATTTAGAAGTGACAGGAAGCCAGGCAAATCTTTGT